GCGCGCCCGGTGAGCCGCGGGCCCGGGGTGCTCCTGGTCGCTGGGGACAAACTCTAGTCTGGTTTATGTCCCTGCAGGCTTTCGAATTACCTGAGGGTTGGACTCGGTGATCTTTGAGGTCTCTTCCAACCCGGTTGATTCTGTGATCTTACTCTTAGTTTGGCTGCTGTTGTGGTTTAGCCCCAGTAGGCAGCTAAGCACAGCCTAAGCTGCTGCGAGGAGAGTCAGCCCAGCCCAAAGCCATACAGCTCCCCTGTATAAAATAATGCTTTTTTCCCCTCTCTGTGGTAGGTGTTTCAGTGCCTTTGCAGCTTGGTTTGCCTGATGCCATTCCACCACAGTATGGGGCACTGAAAGAAGTGAGCATTCACACAGTGAGAGCAAGGCTGAGACTGCTGTACCATTTTTCTGATCTCATGTACTCTTCGTGGAGATTACTGAACCTCAGTCCCAATAACCAGGTAAAATTCCATTTAAAGAAACTGCCTTGGCTGTGTTGTGTTTTGCCACGCCGCGAGAGAGTTTCTGACCAGATCAAGGTGGATCTTAGTGATAGGCCTTATAGGTCTTGTAAAAAGAATAAAGAAACATGTATAGAACACTAGGTTAAAGCAAACTTTGTCTGAGTATCGTTCTCTGTGCTCCCTGTGCTAGCTCTGCCACGCCACAGTTTGGTTCCCAGGAGCTGACCCAAGGCCGAGCGGCATGAGCTGGGAGTGCCAGGGCCTGCCTCGACAGGGCCTGCCTCGACGGGGCCTGCCCGGCAGAGAGCGGAGTCCGTGTTCTGTGTCGAGGTGGTTTTTCTGCTCTCTTGCAGAACAGTACCTCTCACTACAACGCCGGGACATGGGGCATAGTCCAGGGCCAGCTGAGGCCCCTGCTGGCCCCGCGGGTGTACACCCTGCCCATGGTGCGCTCCATCGGGAAAACCATGGTGCAGGGCAAGAACTACGGCCCACAGATCACTGTGAAGAGGATATCCACCAGGTGCGTGTCACGGGCCTTGTGTTAGGCCTCAAATGGATGCTCATGTCCGTTTCCTTAACTTCTGGCATCCTGAGCTCTCTGTACAACTTTGTTAACCGAATGACTTGGGTAGCCTTTGCGTGTTGGGGAGTTACATTGTATGGCTGTGTCTCTCCTTTTCTCCCCAAAGAGGTCGGAAATGCAAGCCCATTTTTGTACAGATAGCAAGGCAAGTGGTGAAGCTGAATGCGTCCGACCTTCGCTTGCCCTCCCGTGCCTGGAAAGTGAAACTGGTGGGAGAAGGAGCTGATGATGCAGGTGGAGTGTTTGATGACACTATCACAGAGATGTGTCAGGTATGTCTGTGAATTCAGGATGCCTGGGAAGAGGTTTGTTCTCTCTGGTGTCTGTCAGTATTTTTCTTATGTCCTTTTTGCAGCATAGCAAAAACTTGTTCTTCGGTCCTGAGCCACAACACTAGAGCTGCCTGCTTAGGGCTGTCTCTGGGGAGAAAGAAATCTTCCTAGACTGTGCCAAGGAGATGCCATAAAGCCACACTAGAACTAGTGTTACATGATGGCCCCTACATGTTACTGGGAGCATTTTGCAGCCTCCCATTCTGTCCTGCCAGTTCCTTCTGAGGGAGCTAACTCTATTCCAAGGTCACAGCACATTCCATGCAGTGCAGAAACACCTCGGGCCGAGTGTTCTTCAGGTATTGTGCACATCACCTCTCCAGACTCCTGGGCAGTAGCAGGAAGTGCAGAGTGCACTGTTTGGCCTGTCTGTAACCAGGAGGTTGTTGCTGTTGTTAACAGCTGTCTTTCCAGACTCCCCAGCAAACTGAAGGTTTCAGGCTGCAGCACTAGGGTAAAGCTGGTCCATCCAGCAAACCGAAGCTTTCAGACTGCAGCACTAGGGTAAAGCTGGTCCATGCTCATGTGTTCTGCTAATGGTTTTAAAGCTGTGTGCCAGCCCTGTGACACAACTCACTGTAGTTGGGAGCTGGCTGAAGAAATTTGGTTGTTCCTTAATCTTCCAGGAGCCTTAAAACACAGAAAGTGAGGATTGGGGAGGATAATAAGTCTATCTGCCGAAGCTTTCAGACTGCAGCACTAGGGTAAAGCTGGTCCATGCTCATGTGTTCTGCTAATGGTTTTAAAGCTGTGTGCCAGCCCTGTGACACAACTCACTGTAGTTGGGAGCTGGCTGAAGAAATTTGGTTGTTCCTTAATCTTCCAGGAGCCTTAAAACACAGAAAGTGAGGATTGGGGAGGATAATAAGTCTATCTGCTTGTTCTGGGACAGGACAATAGCTGTGGATAATGCTGTAGCTAGCAGTGGAGTTAGAGCTGGGATACAAGATGGGAGAAACTGAAGAACTCCATTTGTTAGTGGATTTTCTGAAGCCTGTAAGACTAGAGTAGGGTTGATTCAGGTAAGGACTTGAGGCATAATTTTTGCATTCTTTTGTGAACAGTCTGCTTTCCATATGAGGTGTGAGAAGGGTTCAGGACAGAAATCACTGACAGTGTTTTTGGATCTTGAAGAAGCTGCACCGATAGGGTGAAGAGCTTATGGCTTCTGATTGTTTTGGAAACAGGTGCCAGGAATGTGTCACAGAGCAGCCACAGGACAATAACCATTGTAGTCTGACATAAGGGCAGGTCACAAAATAAACATGTTTTTTGTTACTTAAAATCTTCCCTACCATGTCTAATTTCTCTTAGATGTTCTTTAAGTATTGGTTTGCGAGAAGCAGTCATCACTGTAGTGGAATATTGTGTCTGGTAATGCTGGAATGTCTTAATAATTCTGTCAGGTTTGTTATCCCTAAGAATGCTTTTTTGTTGTTGATTTTTAAGGAACTGGAAACTGGAATAGTAGACCTACTTATCCCTTCCCCAAATGCTACAGCTGAAGTAGGCTACAATAGAGATAGGTAAGTTGTCCAGGACTTGCATTTATTGCAGATGTTAGTAAATCCAAATCTTCTGTTAACTGCTTTATACCAAATGATGAGGCTTCGTGATTGTCTCTAGTATATTTTTTCCTTCAGGTTGTGATGTGACTTTACTGTGCAGGGCAGGGCATGGTTTTAACAGGAATGGCTGGTTGCTGATGGCAGAATTCAGGCTGGCACCAAGAATGGTCAGCAGCTCTGCCTGTCGTGGCCTCCAGTGTTCCAACAGCTATAGAAATATGTGGACACACCTTGGTGACAAGTGTGGTGGCAGTTACTGTGCTGTGCTTAGAAATGCTTTCTCTTTCACTTCTAATGAAGTGGCATAGAAATAATACTGGAGTATTTTCACTGATTCTTTGCTCTTTCAGGTTTCTGTTTAACCCTTCAGCATGTCTAGATGAACATCTGATGCAGTTTAAGTTCTTGGGCATTCTCATGGGTGTAGCTATTCGTACAAAAAAGCCATTAGATCTTCATTTGGCTCCAATGGTCTGGAAGCAACTTTGTTGTATCCCACTCATCTTGGAGGATTTGGAGGAGGTAGATCTGCTCTATGTGCAGACCCTCAACAGCATTCTTCACATTGAAGACAGTGGGATTACTGAAGAAAATTTCCATGAGGTAAGATAAGAAGGTTGGAGCTTTTAGGTTTATTCTGAAAGTGGTTGTTTGATCAGACTGAGCTGCAGTGTATATGTGATTTCAGTCTCTGTTCCTGGGGTAACAAGCACTTTGTGTGCATTTAGAATAGTTTGTGGTCTGATTATGTGTAGTTGTAGGTGACTTAGAGAAAACATCAAACTCGGATCACTGGAGTGACTCACACTGAACATGCTTTTCCTTTTTTGCGTAACAGATGATTCCTTTGGATTCTTTTGTTGGCCAAAGTGCTGATGGAAAAATGGTTCCCATAATCCCTGGAGGGAACAGTATCCCACTTACCTTTTCAAACAGGAAAGAGTATGTGGAGAGGGCAATTGAGTACAGACTCCATGAAATGGACCGTCAGGTGAGGATCTGGTGGGACACTGTCCCCGTCGCTGACGGGAGCACTGAGCTATGCCTCTTTCCATGAGTCCTTGGGCTTTGCTTCCTGCACCTTGCCTGGGTCCCCGTGTCTTTTCTTCCCCCACAAACCATTCCTGGGTTTTCTTTTCAGTTAGTCCTGTTTTTCTCAGTAATTGCTCAGCTGGCAAAAGAGCATGAGAAATCCCTGGAGTGGCCCCAGTGCCCTGTCAGCCCCGTGCCAGGAAAGAAGCTGCTGGTTTGCATGCTGGGCACTATTGTTGGACCTGTCAACAATGCAGGCACTAGCTAGAGTAAATATTATCCACTATTTCTCTTCTACTTTAGCACAGAAACTGCACATATTTCAGGGTATGTTTGGGGAAATGTTCATTGCCTCTTTTCATACTTCTGTGTCATTTGTAAAGTGAAGCTGGTGGAAGCAATGTACTAATTACAGGATACAGATGCATGTGTGATATTATCTGTGTTAGAAAAGTGGCTTTCTCATCAGATGTACCTGAATCTTAAGTGCTGTAGGACAGATACAGCATTCCTACCATCCATCTGAGCCGGAACACAGCTCAGATTGTGTTCACACAGCTTCTCGGTGTAGCCATCATTTGTGCTGCCAACTTGTCCTCTTTTGAAAGCAGTTGTGTTTTGGATCAAAACACGTTCTTTGATGTGCAATTGCAATTAAAAATACCTGTAGTTTCCTTCAGGATTTTGAGACTCTTTCTCAAAGGCCCCTGCAGGGGATGAGTGGGAGCTGCATTTGGCAGATGTTCTCTCCTGTCTTTATCCCATTTCTCAGCTGATACGGTAGCTCTGCACTCGGATGGTACAGGGTGGCAGAGTTAGCAGTTGCACTCTTTTGGCTCTCTTTTGGCCCATAGGTGGCTGCTGTCAGGGAAGGAATGTCCTGGATCGTTCCTGTTCCTTTGCTGTCTCTCCTGACTGCCAAGCAGTTGGAGCAAATGGTCTGTGGAATGCCAGAAATATCGGTCGAGGTTCTGAAGAAAGTCGTGCGCTACAGAGAGGTGGATGAGCAGCATCAGCTGGTGCAGTGGTTCTGGCATACCCTTGAAGAATTTTCAAACGAGGAGAGAGTCCTTTTCATGAGGTTTGTGTCGGGGAGATCTCGATTGCCAGCGAACACAGCTGATATCTCTCAGCGGTTCCAGATCATGAAGGTTGATAGGGTAAGGTGCTGGGTTTATTTGTCTGTCTTTATTCCTGTTTCACATTCCTCTCTACTATAGTCTGTCCTTTGGCCATAGGAGACAGTTTCCATAACTGTAAATGTGCACAGTAGGAGATGGGGTGTGCTCTGAGTTAATAATCCCAAACATTTTTGTTGGGCTGCATGAGTTGCATCTTAGCTGATTTGGTGCCGTTGGTGATTGGAGCTCAAGACAAGTCCTTGCACAAAGCTACTTCTGTTGTAATTTGGCCACAAGGACTTTTCTGTTCCAATCTCTTTTTTCATTTGGTAATTTTCATTCTGTTTTTAAGCTTTCATTTTTTCTAAATGGCGACATAGGACATTTTCAAACTAGTGCAGTGAGTTCACAGTGTATTATCTGATGTGCAGGGATGCTTTCCTTCGGCATTACCTCGGGCTTTGTGCAGTGAAGGCACATTCCCTCAACAACATGAATCAAAAACTCGAGCAGATGGTTTGGTTGGGTGTGTCAGACTGCCTCAGGTGAAGGCACACTGCAGGAGAGCAGTTCGTTAGGGGGTCGAGTCGTTTGCAGAGGACACCTGCCCTGTATCTGTGCTGGTGTTGCATGTACAAAGGATGTAAAGCAAGGGCAGCCAATCTGCTGCTGAGCAGGAATTTGGAGAGAACGCAGAACTGCTGAAGGCAGAGGAAGGGGAAGGGCAGTGAAACGTGGGTATGTTGCATTTTTCCTTCATTGACAGCTTAACACCTTTTATCCGTTTCCACAGCCTTACGACAGCTTGCCTACCTCACAGACTTGTTTCTTTCAACTGAGGCTCCCACCCTACTCCAGTCAACTCATCATGGCAGAGCGTTTGCGCTATGCAATCAACAACTGCAGGTCTATAGACATGGACAATTACATGCTCTCACGGAATGTGGACAATGCAGAGGGCTCAGACACAGATTATTAACATTCTGTGAATAAAATCATCTTCCTCTTACTACAAATAGTGCCCCAAGTCCAATTCATCATTGACATAATTTTACAGTAACCATAGATGTTTTAGGAGCATAAAACCAGACATTAATAGATGGTGGCCACATTTTAGTTACTCTAAATGTAACAAAAAATTAGATGTTTTTATTTTTTTGTGATTGTAAAAAAGAAAAAAGGAAAAACGAAACAAAAAATATGGGTAAGTTTTATTCTTATTTTTTGGTCACTTTTGATAAGTTTGCATGGAGACATTTTGGTGCATTTTTGTTGGGAATAGTCCATTTGTAAGCCCTCCCAGTGAACATGAAGAGTTGTACATTGTGTATAATTGTTCATTAGCCAGGACAGTTTTACATGAATATTCACATATTTATTTTGTTTTAATTTGGATTGCCTGTGCAGGGTTCCTTAAGCAGAGAAAAATAAAGCAAATCCAAGAATCAGTTGCTTGTATGCATTTGTGAACTGTGGTTGGTTTGCTCAGTCTTCATACGTTGATATTTTGTCCCAGGAAATTGTGTTGGTGTTAGGCAGTGGGTGGTGTTTGGAGCATCTAACTGTGTATCCTCCCCATGATGCTGAGCAGCTCTGTGCTCTGCATTGCTGATGTGCCCCCTGGCTCCCCTGGGCACTGCTCGTGGTTCTGCTGCTCTTACTGTTGTGCTGCTTCCTTCTGGCTTTTCCTGTGAGTGCTCTGCTCCTCCAGTGCAGCTGCTGGCAGTACCAGCCTGCTGCCACCTCCACTCAGAGCCTTGGAAGCTTTTGACCAAAAAAAACTTCGTTCTAAGATGCAGCTGATTCCTGGTCAGAGCACAAAGAACTTAAAATGCGAGTGACAGTGTGGTCAGGGGTGTGGATTTTATGCACATTCTGAGTTCTGCCTTTGGTCGCATCTTGTTGCATCTGTAACTGTGATGATCAGCATGGTTTGGCAGCAGTGTGCTGCACAAAGGAACCTCTGCTCTGTCTTAGGGCTGTGCTGGAGAACAGATCTTTGCCCAGTGTCTACAAAAGACATCATTTGTGTCAAACTGCAAATGCTGCTTGGTGTTGAGGAGCAGGACTTTCCTGGCTGGAGGAAAGGGGTAGAGTCTGTCCCCAGGTGAGTCACTGCTGCTCTGCCCTGATTTCCTCCCCACCTCCTGCTCACTGGACACCTTGGGAATGATCCTCAGGGCCAGTGAGGACAGTTATTAGCCTGGTCTCACCTGGGACCAGCCTGGTGCATCTGAGTCCGGAGTAGAGGGTAGAAATTGCTGTTGTTTTCCCTATTGTGTTGTTGGCAAGGATGGATAGGGAAATTTCCTGGTTGTCTGAGACCAAACTGGTGTTTCGGTGCCAGCTAATAGTGCTCGAAGGGCAGAGTTGGTAAGCTGTAAAAATTTGCAGGTCTGTGTTATCTGGTGAAGTCCTTTGGGTTAGGGTTAGTTGTTGGCTCATGGAAAAAGCAAAAGGATTTTAGCTGTGACCAAGTACCATATGGCAACACAAAACCTCTTGGGGCTCAGCAGTCTGTGGGGAAGGAGGGTCTCAGGGCTCCTGCCTCTTTGTGTATTATGGTTTCAAACTCAGCTGAGATTTTGGTGTCACATTGCTATGTTTTGGGGGAGTAAAGTCACATCCTGGTCTAAATTTATACATGTAATACATAAAAATACAATATTGCCAAATAAAGTCCCCAAAACCCCACAAAGTGCATCCGCACACACACACAGTCCTGATAGAAAACTGGCAAAAAGGTTTAAGTAAGATGTAGACAGATGCAAACTGATGTTCATATCTTGTAGCTGCTCGAAAATCTGTTCCTGGTACATCTGCAGAGAGTGTGTTCCACCACAGGTGCTTGGAGAGTTGACATCAGGAGGTCTTTGTTTACTGATGTGACTATAAATTCCTGCCTTGTTTTGGCTTGTCAGCAGTAAGTGAAACTGGTGTTGTGTATCCAAGGTAGAAATCGTGTCAACATCCCAATTTCCACATCCCAGTGAATTTGTTCACCTCAGCAATCACCTTTCCAAGCTGTAAAGGTTGGGTTAGGATTGCTGTTTGTCCTCCTGTCCAGGCGTGTTCCTTACTTAAATCTGAGGAAGGAGTTAATGGATCCCAGTTTCATAGAGTGCTGTGCAGTTAAGTCTCTCTTTGAAGAGGTCCTCGGGTAAGATTTGCTGTGGGACAGGCACAGCCTCGAGCAGTCGGTGTGTGATGGGCCAGAGATGGTGGCAGAACAGTCAGAGTTTCCAACCTGCTTTAAGGACACACTCAGGTGTTTGTGCTCTGTGCAAGGTTTTACTTTCAAATGAGATCTTGACTGTGAGTTAAGCTGGAACTGTTGAGGGTCCAGTTTGAGGCTGTTGCCCGTGTGGTGTGTGAGCTGAGCTGACACTGGTTCTCCCAGGGTTGGCAGCCTGAGTTCTGTGGGCACGAGGATCTTCAGGAGATCCTGTTCTATGGGATGGAGGTGTAAGGCAAGTCCGAGTTCAGCTGTGGAGTGGGCAGGATTGTATGGTGTGCTCTCCAGGAGTCAGAATTGCTGAACAAAGTGGAAAATAATGGAAAGCAGAACTTGAGGATGTGCTCACACATGAGTACAGCACAGGGCTTGAGAAAGGTGCTTTAACCTCATGCTGCAGTTCAGACAAACCCCGAAGGATTCCCACGGGATGATCTGTCAGGTGACTGCAGTACACAGGGAAGTGGCACTCAGAAATGTCTAACTTTCCTCAGGCAGAAGTCTGTAAGGGCACAGAGTCCTGCAGCATGGTGTCTGCAGTGCTGAGGACTCCACACCAGCTCTCGGGGCATTGGATCGTGGCAGGATAAAACAATGCCAACCTTTAGTGTCAGGTTTTGTTAGGTGATGGCATAGCATCATTGCAGAATTTCATTAATAAAAAGTTTCACTTCCAGGCAGCAGAGCAGCATAGTGACAGGTTTGTGGTTTGGGATGAAAATAGCTCCTTGTTTTGTTCTTTGCAGTGAGAAATGGTGTCTGGGCTGCAGTGTGTCCTAATTTAGCATTTAAAGCTACAGGTTGTAAGTCACTGTCCTGTCCTATAGGTTAGTGCTCTGAACTAGCATTTGTTCATAGGTCATAGAATTTTAGGGGTTGGAATGGACCTTGCACTCTGTCAAATTACGATGATGCCTCAGTAAACCAGACTGCTGCTCTGCTCTCCCCCTCCCGCAGCGCTCTGTGACCGTGCAGCTTTCCCAGTTTCGAGGAGCAACAGAGAGCAGGTTGGTTTTTTTCCTTAAGCCTGGTGGAGATGCCTTTTTTCCAGTACACCCTTTACAAAACAAATCAATCATTTGTTTGGACTTAACCACAGTTTGTTGCGACCCAAGAGGAGAGAGCAAGTGAGGTAAAACACCTACATTGATTATACAGTTTGTTGCACTTAAAGCTGAACCAATTTTCTTGATGCTTTTTCAAGCATCAGCTTTTCTGCTGGCTTACTGTCTGGGATCATGTTAGCACTTCTCTCTGCCCTCAGCACAACTGAAGGACGTTTTTCCCTGACCCTGTCTAGACCAGCTTGTGTGATGTTCCGGCAGAAATCCACGTGGAGTGTTTGCAGAGCTCCCCCGTGGAGGGTCACTGCCGCCAGGGTCTGGTCAGTGATGCGCACACAGTTTTCCAGTTTGAGTGTCTTGAGGTTTGGGCAGTTCTTGAGGAGCAGCAGGATGCAGTCATCTGTGACGTGGCCACAGCCAGAGAGCGTGAGAGAGAGCAGATTTGGGCATCTGCAAACATGATTGTTGACAGGTGAGGTGAGGGCAAAAGTAAATAATAGAGCTTGGAGAAGCTAATATCAAGAACAAATATGAAGGCTAGAAAAATACCTCCTCTTCCATCAGGAAGGCTAAGAATGCTTAAGCAGGTGGAGTCATACATAGATCTTTATGTTGAGCTTTACTAATGGCAAAGCTTACCCCTTTTGCTTTTCTGTTGGCAGCAACATCTCTAGCTCAGCAGGCAGGGTGGGGAAGGCCAAGGCCTATTTAAGCTGCAGCTGCACTGGTTTGTCCTGAGGAGTTGCATGGTGCTGCTCTCCTCCAGGTGCAGCTAGTGAAGACCCAGTACAGGTGAGATTCATTTCAGGATGAAGTTGAGGACAATTGAGAGAAGGAACTGCTTTGTAGACATGCTGAGCTTGGGCAAGTAAGACACTCCCACTCTGGATTTTCAGGAATTATGGATGTATTTCAGCTCCTTGGATTCATTGAGTAGGTGCCAGCTGCTGCCTAAGAGTGATGTTGAGAGCCCCACACAGCCCTTAAACTTTCCTTTGAGCCACTGAAACCGGTAAGAACTCTTCTGTTACAATCATGCAGCTATTGAAAACTTTATTTCTTGCTGCTTGGGTAGAGCTGGGAGAGCACAGGAAAGGCCTGTTCTGAGTCAGTGTGTGATGACTTGGAGCAGCTGTCCCTGTGCTGAGCAGCCCTGTGTGCAGGGACCCTGAGGCTCTGGGGCACAGCAACAGTCAGGGCAAACAAGGGGCTCTGCCCTGGCTGTGGTGTGTCCTTTGGGCCTTAGAAACTGGGGCACAGTGTACTCTTTACAGCCCACCCTGTGTCCCACCTGCTTGACTTCACCTTTTGAGCTGAGGGGATAAAGTGAGGTCCTATCAGCTGCATGATCTTTGTTTTTACTCTTTTCCTTTACAGTTATGAAGTTAGAGAAAAAAAGCTGGCAGAGTCAAGAAGGGCTCTGAGATGCCATCCCTTGTGTATCAAAGGCAGGGAGAAAAGTGGATATTTGTTGAGTTTGCCGAGTACTAGGAGCTTCATGTGAACGGGAACACTTCCAGTGAGTTGCTGCAAGGAAGGGCAGGAATTTGTATTGTCCTGTGTAGGCACAGGTGTGCTGAGCCTTTGCTAATTAACCCAGATTTTTATCTGTTGTTTTAAATGGTTACTTCTGAAATTTTGTACTGGCAGCTTAATGCCCTGGTTTGCACCTGCATTTCTGTCATGGTTTCGAGAGCACTCTGTGTCCTGTGTCCTGTCACTTGCTGCCTTTTTCCTGCTGTCCCTGCCAGAGCTGAGGGAAGCTGAGGGCTGGCTGTGCCACTTCAGGCCACCCTGGGCCTGGGCCCTCAGCCAGCTCTGGTGTTGTGGCACACTGGGAATGGCTCTGCCCCATCTGCACCTCCCAGTGTCGTTTATCTTTTATTAGAGCTGTTCCAAGAACTGCTGTGCACCCAGAGCTGCTTGTGGCATTACTCTTACTGTGGTTCATAGGGAGCTAAGAGAGAGTTATATTTTGGTATAAAAGCAATACTTGTCTCTCAGAATTAAGTAAATCTGATGTTTAGTAACCTGTTTAATGAACTTGGTTGTTACGACTTGCCTCGAGGTTGTTAGGACCTCAGCAGAGTCCTCCAGACCCTGCACAAGGGCTCAGTTAAGCAGCAGTGTGCTAGGTAGTAGTGCCCTTTCCCATATTATTTATTCTTCAGAAAAAGGAGAAGAAAATAGGTTTAAGGAAAATCAATATGAAGTATATACACTATTTGCACTATAAAACAAACTTTACATAGTACTAGAACTGTGAAGTTAAAACCCTCCCATGCTCAACGCTCCATTCCAGGCAGGCTGGATGGAGTGAGGAGCTCTCAGGTCTCATTTCCCTCACTCCAGGGCAGTTCCCCTGCACACACACCCAAGGAACATACCTGTTGGAAACGTCTAGTAAAAAATCACTGACAGTGTTCTCGTGCCTGCTACAGAAGTCTTTCTGGAGACTGTTTTTCATCCAGTCCTCAATGTTGCACACCTTGACTCTCTCTGAATACCAGCAGATGGATAGGTGTCTCAAAGCAGGTCCCAGGAGAAAATTGTCCTTCTTTAGTTCCACTGGAGAATGAAAGTTCAGCAAAGACCACAGTAAAGGATCCTGAAACACTTCGAGCAACTTGTGACATGTTTTTGCTAAACATTTCCTACTATTTTTGTCCAGAAAGGAAAAGAGATATAAAAGGCAGTCCCGATTCAGCTGGGTGATGTGCATAGCCCCCGGAGCAGGTCGAGGAGAGGCTCCTGGCCTGGGCAGTGCTGGCAGGGGCTCAGCACCACCACGAGGCTGTTGCACATATATGGTTGTGGAATGGTGTTTATTTTCGGCTCACAACTGGTGCAGGAGCTCAGAATAGGGAAGGAAAAAGGAACATGCATCAGGCAGCCTGTGTGCTTCCCACAACGGAGTGGCCATGTAGAACAGCTGTACTTGACTGCCATGAAATGCTTCCTTAAAAGGGCTTGGTTTTTTCCTTTGTAGACACTCCTAAGTTTAGCAGAGTTCTTGTGCTGAGTTACCAGAGTGGGTGTGTAAGTACAGCCAGCAGTATCATTGCTAGCCTTCCATGGTTGAAGGATGTGGCTTTTGGAGCAGCAGTTTGTTTTTGCAGTGTACAACAATTTTAGGCTTTATTTGTTCACTGATTTTTCTGAGGTTGCACTTTTGCTTCATGTTCAAGGACTGTGACACTGGATAATGAACTTTCATGGCTCATAAAAGGTGCTGCAAAATTCCCTGGGTGCTTTGAAGCACACACACAGAGTTTACAGCTTCACTTGACAAGCCTCAGAGTTCTGGGCACACTGTTATTTGAGGCTGAGCTAGGATTCTATGAACAGAGCTAGCTGTGTCCCCAACTTCTGCAGGAGGAAAGCAGAGGCAGACACACATGGGAACAGCAAATCTGTGTTTAGTTCCTTGTGGGCTTGTTGCTTTTAATAGATGTTTCCTATTAGCTTGGGTTGGCTTGGTTTGGTTTTGTAGGTTTAGCTGTTACCACAGACACCTTTTGGTGGAAAAGGGGATGGATATTGGATATATGAGTAAAGGTAGCTGTTTTCCAGTAAAGGGAGTTTCTACTGTAGAAGAAAGATGCTTCTAGAAGAGAAACGTAGCTATAGTAAATGACAGGTTGCAACTGAAAACAGTAAGTGGTTTTTTTTAACTGTCACATTTGTGAAACAAAAATGCTTGAGATGAAGGTGTTTGATGCCCATCTTCTGTCTGCTGTTGGTACAAGAGACTCCATTCAGTGAAGTGGTGGCACTGCAGGGCACCTTGCACAGCTGTGCAAATTGTGCATTTTAATGAGGAGTCTTGTGATGTATGGCAGGGTTGAGTGGTACCAAAGCTAACCTATTCCTTACCCTGAGAATGCAGTTTGAAATTCGGCTCTGAAAAACAAGATCTGAAATTTGTTTGTGGTCTGCAGCAATTCTGGCTTCAGCTCCTGTGTCTGTCCACACAGCAGGCACACACCAAAATACAGCAGTTGTGCTGAGCTCTTTGCTTAGCAGTTTTCTGCTCTGTACTGTAAGCTGTGCTCAACAACTGCCCCTTGTTGGTTTCCTATCCTTTGTCAGTCATTCCATCTTTTCCTTGAAATGAGAAGGCAGCTCCTGCTCAGAAACAGGCTCTGGCAAGTGCCACGAGAACTTTAGGAAGCCACGGCAGGGCCAGGATTTCATGGCCCAGGTAAGCTGCCACGGGCAAACAGCCTGAACCCTTCGCTCTTCTCACCTGGAACAACTGACCTTCATTTTGGGGCAGGTTCAAACTGCTCAGAGTTGTGACACACAGAGAATGTTAGTTAAGAAAAACCCCAAACCAACAAACCAGGTTAGTGGTGCCAGACAGGGGACACACTGCAGTCTGAACAGCAGATCCTCTCTGGGCTTAGGTGCCGAGGCCAGAGGAGGTGTCACGGAGTAGGAACACTCCAATGGCTTTAATTTGTTCTCTCCAGAACACAGTACAGTACTGGGCCATCTGTGTAAGAGGAGTGACACTGATGTTCTGCAGAAGGACAAGAGGAGTTTTGTTTTCTAAAGAAAGGAGACACTTTAATGGCACATTTTCCATAAACACACTGTGTGATGAGATATAATTCACATTCATCCTGGAAATGCTCCAGAAACACACAAGATGCACAGAGTCAGTAATCCTCACTGAAAATTACACACAAGAGTTTAATGGTAAACAGTTACAACTATGGCACTACAGTACTTGAGGATAGCCCAAAGCACATTGGAATCCATTTTCAAGGTGCCAATTACCTCATCAGTAAGACAGACACATCAGTAATGAAACATTGTCGGGGAAACTTTTGAAGACCACGTGCTACACCTTCTGCTGATGGAGCAAAAGCCTTAGGAATGGCTCCTGCTCTTGATACACTGTCCCTGCCTGTCCCAGAGCTCCCTGGGAGCTGGACATTCTGAGCTGTGTGTGCCATCGGTCTCGTCTCCAGCTGTGTACGTGGCTAAACAATTACTAACAGAAGGACACACTTTGATTGGACAAATCTTGGTGAAAAATGTGCAAGTCTGAACTGCAGGGAGCAGCTGCTGCTTGCTGAGCTGTCACAAGCAAGAAGAAAAATTCTTGCGTGCTACTGCGTACTACGATCAGCAGTAAGTAGAAAAGAAATGTTTGGCTTTAAATGAAAGGAGATATCCCCCCCCAAGCTAGTAGATAAATATAGGATATACAAGTAAGGTTAAAAACGTAATACTAGGCCAGGTGCAGTATATGTTACTGGTTCAGTGCTCAGTTACCTTTTTTTTTTTTTTTTGACACCACACTGAATAGAATACAGTGGATAAGCAAAGTTCTCCACCAGGAAGAGAAATACTTGTGTTGCCACAACAAACTGTTCAGACTGTCCATCTGGGCTTGCAGTGGGAGAAAGTTAACTTAGGAAAGGATTTACAATGTACTTATTCCAGCAAAGCATATGGCTGAGTCCTTAGCAGCACCTGCTGCAGGAACTTGCCTGCTGTGATTGCACCATGGGGCAGGACAGCCCTGGCCCAGAGTTGCACAGCACGTGGGGCTGAAACAAATGCTCAAGTGAGAACAGAACTCTGACCCAAACAGTTACCTGGAGAAATAGAAGCTGATTAAAATAAGTGAAAGTTGCTGAAGATTACGAATTTTAAGTTCCTAAAATTACAGAAAGGCACATTTACATCACTGTTTTGCAAGAACACTGCATCCACCTGACTGCTCTAAGTTAAACTGCTGCTGGTCCAGAGCCAGGTAGTTGTGTATTTTAAGCTTGGCATTCTCAAAGGTAAAATCTAAGGGAACCCAGTCCAAGTAGCATGTAAAGTGCAGCTACAGACAGCATGTCCAGCAGCTCTCACATTCCATCCTCTATGTAAGTCAGTCCCAGCGACCCATGGTGACTGGTTAGAAGAAAGGCCCTGCCTGCAAGAAATGGAAGGTGACAAACTATTGACACTTCAAAGCAATCAACAGTTCTGTTTATTGTCCGGCATAAGGTTAGGGTTAGAGCATCCTTATGTCACCACGTACCAAACACGATCAGAACAGCCTTCACCTGTGCACAGTCAGCTATGCTGAATGCTGTTTGCAGTTCTGTATTAACCCAGTTCTCCCTGTCCTGGTTTAAGAGGCTGTGAAAAAGCTTCCAGGAACACCAGTGTACCCAGGCCCTGACTGTGACCCGGTACCCCACGGCCAAACTGGGAATTCGGAGCTGGTGGGTGTGCTCAGACCACTGCACTGTACTGCTGACAGCTCAGGGATGCTGACTGAGGGGGTGACTCTGCTCTCACTGCCACAGCTCAGATTCCAGCAGTGCCCAACTCCTGTTAGCACAAGGGGGCTAACTGGAAAGGATGGGCTGGGAGGAGTATTTGTCAAATTTCAGGTTGTATTTTGGACTCATGGTTTTCCTGTCTGCCTTCTTTCCATCTTATTAACTGGCAGCACAGCTAAAACTCGGGGTGTTCTTTTAGCATGTGTTTCTCAATTACCACAGCAAGTTTCAGAAATTGCATCGTGGCTCCTGTGTTCACCTAGAAACTAAGGACGCCACTCTGGGCCAGTGTGTAAGTGCTACAGCCTCCCCAGTCCACAAGCAGTCTTGGCTCATCATCTCCCACCACACAGGCTCTGCTGTGAGAAAATGGCATTTGAACTGACCCCTGGAACACCATCTGCCTCCTTTGGGTTCAGGTGAGCTATAGGTATGGAGCAGAGCTAGACCTAGGCCTGAGGCCTTGGGGGTGTTGTCCAGTCACCCCGGGAAGGAGGGTTGGGGTCCTACTGCCAGAAAGTCTCCAAGTTTCCAAGCAAGCAAGTGTTGATGATCAAATTTCAGGCTGACAGTCTAAACCAGGAGATGTCTATTGCAATTCAGGTTCAGTTAAAAAAAACCCAAAAATCTCAACACAATTTAGACAGGTAATTTTAAGAGAGTTTTTTAGATCTGAAGGGGGTGGGGGAGAAAGCATTGCAGTATTGATACAATTGAACCAACTGTTTATTTACAAGGATTCCTGAAGTCAGCAGCCTGAACACACTCCAGTATAGCAGCAATTGCCTGGTCTACTTAATGGTGCCACATCTCCTCTCTTCTGCGGCCAAGGAATGGTTGCTCAGAGGTCACTGTTTCGGCTTCCTGCACGAGGGAAAACAGTCTGTGCAAACAATCCCTTGATTAAAGAGATTAAATCATACCTAGGGAACAGCACTAAGAACAGCACAAAGTTGTATTGCTCTTCAGAAGCACATGGATCTGCTCATAAGGAGGACAGAAAGCTTCTTTGATGTAAATGTGCCTTTAGAGAACGAGAACTGAAAACAATATAAAAAAGTCAAATAACTATTTCATGAAACTATATATATCAAAATTGAGTTATCACAACTAAAGCAGCAAATCAAATCTGCTGAGGTTTTCTGGTATAACTAAAAAAAAGTTAGTTTGTGTCCAAGTTCAGTAAGTCAAATGCTACCACTGACACAACAAAACTAAAACCCACAAGAGGAAATTGAAAAGTGCACAATGAAATTAATAAGTCTTGGATCAAGTATTTATGGAAAAATGGAAATGTTTTGTCCGGTGGACTTGATAAGTGAGAATTAAAGGAGGTATTAGAGTTTATCTGCTCCAGCTTTGGCTTGCTGTTCCACATAGAAGAGGATGTAGGCCTTGGCCTTCCCCACGGTGTCCTCATCGGTCAGAGTCACAGTGCTGTCGTTGAAGTGGAACCAGCGTCCCTCGTGCGCCGCGTACGCCGTGTAGTGACCGGAGCCCACACTGCCAGCAGAGAAACAACAGTCACACGGGACACAGCACCTCACTGCTGGGGCTGAGAGACCCCCAGGAACCACAGCACCTCACTGCTGGGGCTGAGAGACCCCCAGGAACCACAGCACCTCACTGCTGGGGCTGAGAGACCCCCAGGAACCACAGCACCTCACTGCTGGGGCTGAGAGACCCCCAGGAACCACAGCACCTCACTGCTGGGGCTGAGAGACCCCCAGGAACCACAGCACCTCACTGCTGGGGCTGAGAGACCCCCAGGAACCACAGCACCTCACTGCTGGGGCTGAGAGACCCCCAGGAACCACAGCACCTCACTGCTGGGGCTGAGAGACCCCCAGGAACCACAGCACCTCACTGCTGGGGCTGAGAGACCCCCAGGAACCACAGCACCTCACTGCTGGGGCTGAGAGACCCCCCAAATTAATGTTTTATGTTAAGTTAAATAGTCACTTGCTGGGATGAGTCAAAAGGTGTTCATACATCCTTAGGAGTGTCCCCCAGTTTGTTGCCAGCAAGGCTTGCAGCAGCACTCAACTCCCACATCTGCTCATGTACACAACACATTTACTGCTGCTATTCAAGCATGAGCTAAGAAATCTCATAGTGCTCTGTTTTCAGAAATCTTTCTCATTTTGGCATATAGAGACTCAAATAGACTAAATACTATCAAAAGCACTCACAGCAAATGTAATCCCAGATCAGTAGGCCAAAAATTTTTCAAGTTTTTGCCTTTGCTTTGCTGTCCTTTGTTTTTCTACAACTCTGCAGCACCAGTGGTGGCTAAGTCACTGCATGGGCTGCCTTTGGCAGGCCAAGAGTTCCTTCAGCTTTCTGGGCTTGCAGCTTGTGACTTAAATTCAGGTCTCAGCAAGGTTTTGATGGGGTTGAATTTCTTTAGGAAACCCCTTTGACAGCTCACACAGGAAGTGCCTATACGATAAGAACGTGTTTCTCTCAGGATGAGCAGTTGTGCTGTCCCTGTGTCCTGTGGCTGCATTCAGTCCTGCAGGAGGAGCTGTCACACTGCTGTCATTGTGCCCATCTCAGGCTCCAGGTGGTCCAGACACACACACACACTTCTGTAGCACAGTGAATAAAAGAGGAGGAAATATGTCTGTTCTGCACTAAGCATTTCAAAATGAGACCTCCTGAGTCATCCTCTTGGTTTAGGGCTTCCCATTCCCAGTGGAACTAGGCTCTTTTCATTCTGTCTCACACTTGTAGTCATTAACCCCAGAGACTGCACAGATCTATCTGTAGTTAACTCAGCTTAGTTCCACGCCAGTGTGTAAAGTGCTGCTTATTTCCACCAGGCAAAAGTCATTCCCTAAGGACAGAGAAGCCTTCATGAACTCTGCATGTCCTTCAGTGGGAGAAGATCTCTGCACATACTCACCCTGAGCCGTGATGCACAACCACAGCCACGAGGTCATACAGACAACTTTCAGGGCCACTGTTTTCAGGCTGCAAAACACAGAAAACTCTTCAACTCACCAGCACCGACTCTGATTTGTAAGACAGACACAGAAGATATCAGTAGGTCCTCTTACCTCTAACAAGTAGCATTTCATGTCTAGACCTCGTAAGGGAAACTCGACATAGGTATCCACCTTGTTCCTCAGATATGCTGTCCAGTGGAAGCGTTTCAAGTGTAAGCAAAGCACCTGAGGGGGAGAGGGACAGAGATGTGCAGGGAGACACAGGGCTACAGCTGCTAATGCTGTGACACTGATCCTCCTCATGCTTCTACAAACCTTTGGTAGTTTCTGAATCCAAAATTTTTTTGTGGACTTCTGTTTCTTTTTGCATTTGTGACACATATACAGCTCTGTCTCATCAAGTTCTTCCAGGTCTGTAAAACTGCGAAGGCAATCTGAAAAGAGAATACAAAACATGTTAAAGCTCACACCAAGAAACCTGATTCAAGCTGACATCGAGGTGGATTTGTAACACACAGCACAACACGTCCTGCAGTGCAGCTGTGCACAGCTACTGCTGCTGCTGCCACCTCTGCAGCCAGGGGAGCCTGATGTAATGCCACCACAGCACAGGGGCAGCCCGACCTAGCGCCGGGGAAGAAGGTGGAGGCAGAGCACGGCAGGCAGAACAGGGTGGGCAGGAGTTGGCAGCCAGGCAGAGGGGCATGGCGGGCAGGAGTTGGCAGGCAGAGGGGGATGGAGGCAGGAGTTGGCAGGCAGGAGTTGGCAGGCAGAGGGGGACGGCAGGCAGGAGTTGGCAGGCAGGAGAGAGAGAGAGAGTGAGAGTGTGTGAGAGAGTGTCAGTGTGTGAGAGAGTGTCAGTGTGTGAGAGAGTGTCAGTGTGTGAGAGAGTGTCAGTGTGTGAGAGAGTGTCAGTGTGTGAGAGAGTGTCAGTGTGTGAGAGAGTGCGAGAGAGAGTGCAACTGAGTGAGACACCTGGGGAAAGAAGGAAGGGAAGGAAAGGAAGGGAAGAAGGAAAAGGTCTGTCCAGAGTGGGTTGCTGTGGGTTTGGCCTTTACCTCGGAGGGTGCACATTGGTCCACTGTCTTGGCTCTTGCCACGTTTATTCCTGAACTGACTGGGAATATCTAGTGAGAGGTCTGGGAAAACAAAGAAGGCAAATGATCAACCCACTCTGATGCAGTGTGACATAGGTCAGATCTCATGAAAAGAAAAGCAAGGCCTTACCTAGGAATGGGTCAAACTTCCTCGATTCCGTGCCACAGATGAGGCAGTTCACTTCATTCTGCAGAATTCCTCCAAAAATGGCTGTGACCACTGTCGAGGCTCCGTTTCTACAGTTTGGGGCAGAGAGACAGAGTCAGTCCCAGTGTGCCTCAGCTGCTTTCCATCCCTGTGCTCACAGCTCCACCAGGCTGGGCAGGAACCCACACCTTCAGTGCTCCGAAGATTGCACTGGGCTGCAGTTCTGCCCTGCACCTGATGTATCTGAAACACAAAGGTGCTCTCCCTCCTGTGGTTCTCTCATCAGAGCAAACTGCAGTGCACACACAGCTCCTGTGCCCTACTCTGCCCTCAGCACCTCACTCTGCCCGGCCACTGCCTCTCTCAAAACAAATTCACAGTACAGAGGTGAGCAAAGTTTAAATTTCCCTTGCGTTTTGACATGCAAAATGCTGACAAAACCAAATTGGTTTACTTGTCAAATATGTGTCAATTGGAAAAACATTTTAAGATTCATTTGGGGAATTTTTAAGCATCAGCAACACAACATTGATGTACAGAGCAAAACAAAGAGCACAGCCTGAACTCTAGGTCTTCCCTACTGAGGCATCTCCACAGTCCGGCACCGGTCTGGCCTGCTGTATAGGAAGGGAAAATCCATTTTCTGTATGGACTTAGGGACCACATATGCAGACTGAACTGACTGAACATTCCTTCCTGACGCTCAAAAGGTTTTCACTCTGTGGCAGTTTGAGTCTGAGAGAAAACCCAGTGGAACAGAATTCAGAAACAACAGTATTTTCAGAAGCAGAGAAAGAAGACTGAAAGAAACACAAATTACTCCTCTGTTTCAAGGAACATAGTAACATGAAAATCAAAACTAGCCAGGATAAAAGCAACAGCTTTAACTGTCAAGTGACATACAAATCTGGCCAGATCATCTGCAGAAAATCTGACTGCAAAGTGTGAGTGCACTGCTCATTAACACTGCCTCATTAATGTGGAAGGTCTGCTCCTGCCATCTCTGGGACCACACTCAGCCCATTGCTCACCCTACACCAGTGAGGCTGAGGAGAAGAAAGAACTGTATAGGGGTAGAGAACATAAAACACAGGAGGTTTTTATTTCTGAAGGACTAATGACTTAAAATGCCTTTCTAACTTCACCTGTGTGCTCACTCAGAGCTGTGAAAACTGCCAGGACACTTTGGAAGGGACACGGCTCCTGCAAGAACGCTCAGCTCTGAGACTGCAGCTCTGCACTTCCTAACACGACAGAGGCAGTAAAGAAATTTCAGCCATGGACCCTGAGGCTGAAATCCCAGAGCCCCCACATGCAGACCCAGACAAAGGCATCAAGGCTTTGAAGGGACTCAGACCCACTTACATGCAGCACTTGTTGCTTGCAGACAGGCTGGAGTTCTCCTGCAGCAGCACCGAGCGTGAGACGCCGTTGAAGCCTCCCTGGAGCTCCAGGTGTAGGTGGTCCAGGAGGTAACGCATGAACTCGTGGGCATCCTGCTGCTGGTACCCCCTGGAAAGGAACAGCAACAAGATCACCACACACAGAGGCTGCTTCAGTGGCCACAAAGAGCACCAGGTCACAGGAAGGAAACCTGGCGTGGCAGTCGTCCTGAGCTGACATTCCAGAGGGACTTCAGAAAGGAGCAGTGTCTAGTTCAACAACTAAGCAATTCTGGTCCTTCGCAGCTCATGTTTTCTGCACATCTTTCTGAAGATGGAGAAACTTTTAAGAATGCACATTTTAGAGCAGAAAACAACAGGGAGCAGCAGGTGCCTAACACTTGTTCACGAGCAGCATCCCGAGATGGGACCACAGCCATCAGCAGCAACCCCAGCACTGTACCACAACCCTGACACTGTACCACAACCCTACCACAACCCCAGCACTGTACCACAACCCCAGCACTGTACCACAACCCCAGCACTGTACCACAACCCCAGCACTGTACCACAACCCCAGCACTGTACCACAACCCCAGCACTGTACCACAACCCCAGCACTGTACCACAACCCCAGCACTGTACCACAACCCCAGCACTGTACCACAACCCCAGCACTGTACCACAACCCCAGCACTGTACCACAACCCCAGCACTGTACCACAACCCCAGCACTGTACCACAACCCCAGCACTGTACCACAACCCCAGCACTGTACCACAACCCCAGCACTGTACCACAACCCCAGCACTGTACCACAACCCCAGCACTGTACCACAACCCCAGCACTCAGAACCATCCCCGGCACTGTACCACAACCCCAGCACTGTACCACGTCTGTCAGAACCATCCCCGGCGCTGTACCACAACCCCAGCACTGTACCACGTCCATCAGAACCAACCCTGGCACTGTACCACAACCCTGGCACTGTACCACATCCACCAGGAGCACACACCAGCAGCAATGCCTCACTCAGGCATTTCTCCATTTCCTTTGTGACCAACTAGATGTGATTTGCACCTCAGCAAAACTGCTTCACATCTCATTCAGACAGTGCATCTTTTGTCTTTGACTCTGTCACAAATAATGGGCAATATATTGTAAGATTCAAAAGTCACCACAAAATCCACTGTTCACATGGGGGTTGGAGTCAAGTCAGTATTTCTGAGAGGTTCCCAAACAGCAGCTTTAAAATAAACCACCAAGTCTGTATGTAGAGCTTAGAGCACCCTGCAAAGCACAGGCAGCACCACCTCCCCTTCCCAACAGACAGACTGGCACACAAACCTGCTGTGCTCCAGCAGGACAGTCCTGTAGAGCCAGAGCCAGCACTCCCCCTCCCAGAGCTGCTCAGAAGTACATGGCACGTTTGATGAAGGAACCATCATTCCACACTGTTGGTTGTGCTCCTGGTTCATACATTTATACTTACAAACAAGATGGAAAATTCTCTGGATTTGTTCAAAAGCCTAAGTCCAGAGTCAATAAAGCATGATGGATCATGTGGGAGTAGGGACCCACTAAGCAGCTGACACTGTTCTCCATTTGATTTCTCTTATCCATTAATCATGGACACACTCCCAGAAGACTGGGGATAAAAATGGAAGAGAGGGAGATCCCAAACAAACAGCACTTTTAAAAGCTGTGACTGATTGAACCCACAGTGCTGAAAATTTGCTTGAGGAACTGCAATGAACTCGTTCCTCACTTACTCTAACAACAATTATAGTGAAGACTAATAGGGAAACTGGTCAAGGACATTATGTTTGTTTGCCTATAATGTTTTGGTCACTGCTTGCAACTAACTGGTATTAAACTTCCTTGATTCTCATAAGCCAAGTGCAACAGAATTGGCAGTGTGAAGAAGAGAACAAATAGATTTGTCTTATTTGGGTTACACGTTGAGCAGATGTGTTCACAGCATCTTTTCAGCACTGCTGGAGTATAACAGATAACAGAACATCTTTACAACCTGAGAACAGGGAGCAACTTACCTTCATCACAATATATCCTAACAGGTTGCAGTGCTCCTTTGAAAGAGGTTCAGGGGCCAGGACAGGGAGACCTTGGAGAGGAACGACACTTCAATTTACTTCAGTAACCTGCTCTTTCCTTTGCTTTGCTGCCAGTATGGGCACAAAATGCTTACTATGCACAAGATTTTTCTCTTACAGCCCTTACTTCATGTCCAGAGAGAATCAAGGAAGTTTCAGCCAGTATGTTTGCATTTAGGCCTGAAAGTGCTATATCCATTGCAATCTGACTCCATGGCTTTCTTCTTGCAGCCAAGCCTGGGCTCTGTCAACACCCTTCACCTGGCACTTACCTACCAGTCATTATCTGGGTCCTTTCACTCACCCTTTGGAGCACTGGCTCAAGGGTACAACTGTTACTATTTCTACTTGAGATGTTTGTCCTCTCCAACACTGCTATGGTAAAAAGGGCAGGAAAAAAGCAAACACCACCAATGTACACAAAACTGCTGATCAGAGCAAAGACCCTTTTCAAAGCATGTGGAAAGCTGCATAGAGTGCAACCTGCAGATTCAATCATTTTCGGGTAGGACAGCAGCAACACATGATTGCAATCAAGATTGTGTTATTACAAAACTTACCTAAAGTTTGGCATGATTTTCCACACAACGTAAAATAAAGACTCTGGACTAAATGCAGTTTGGCTTCCTTGCCATAAAGCACAGAGTGTCTTTCTGAATTCTTCTACCAGTGAACTGGAAAGAAAGTAAAAGCTGGTGTTTAATGCAGGTTTGGATTATAACCCTCATAGCTCAATGGTACAAGTATCAGACATTAGCTTGGTTCAGACTGGAGTGACTGGTAAATATGCTTTCCAGTACCTTCAAAGATTCTATGGCCAAAATCCTACATAGCACTGGGAGAGACAGGTTAGGAAAATGATAGATTAGGAAATCTAGTCACCTTATGCCATTTTAGAGTGGACTCTACTACCATCATCCCTTTGACACTTGCTCAAACAAGCTACACATTGTGAATCACTAATTTTTTTTGCAGCAGTAGCAGATGTGACTGCAAGTCACACCCCCATGACCTTATTTTAGCCAGAATTAAGCAGCATAACATCTGGAGTACATAAAACTAGCAGTTCTTAATGCTACTTTCAGTGCAGTGACACTGCAGCACTTGGTGCAGTCCCTCCCTGCAGCACCAGACCTGTAAAAGCATGCTGCAAGCGATACCAGTTTCATTTTTGTACACACAGCTGTCTCCTGTGACTGTCCCCTGTGAATGGTGTGACATCCCAGCCGATGGGGGTTCCACCCCCCAAGCCTTTGCTTGCTCGGTGCTGACAAGGAGCAGAGCTTACACGTTGTTGTCCCCCTGGCTCCGGGTGTGGTAGGTCCTCCTGCCTGCTGTCTTCCCGTTCCGCAGCTCCACGGCAGGCAGCTCTTTGAAGTAACAGCAGAACTGCTGAATGTTACTGGGGAAAAGGAAACAGGAATGATATCCTTAAAGGGCAGAGAAAAAGGAGAGTGTGATGTACTGTGCCCAGTGCTACCTCCACACCTCCCCAGAGTGTGCAGCACACACCTTCTTGTGCCCAGGGCTACAGCACACACCTTCTTGTGCCCAGGGCTACCCCCACACCTCCCCAGAGTGTGCAGCACACACCCTCCCGTGCCCAGGGCTGCAGCACACACCTCCCCAGAGGGCGAGGCAAACACCTTGCTG